AAAGAGGATTTACTCACAGAGTTTCAGTAAGATACATCCCAGATACAGCTGCAATTCTGGAAGAGGCCCGATTTATTTTTTTAGCTGCACAATAGAGGTACATCAGGATTCTACCCTGATCATCTCTTAAGTAGCTGATCTCCTCTTTAATTGATACGAGTGGAGGTAACGGAATGAGGGGCTTAACATCCTCACTGTCATTATTTTGATTGGAAACATTTTCTTGGTTTTCAACATACTCCTCAAAAGCGTTACTGTTTGCTGTGCAATTTCCATTTGATGCATTCACAACTGTTTCCCATTCAACTGAATGGGAAGCAGCTTTTTGCTCCTCCTGATCTTTAATTTCTTCTCTAACAGAACTGTGATGTAAATAATCAGTACTGACATTTGTTGTATGAGTACTCTTAGAGACAGCATAACAATCAATGGATTCCTGAAAATTACGTTTGTCTGTATTTAAAAGAGCTACATTTCCTGGGGTAGGATTAGTTTCAAGTTCTGAGTTTTCCGCTGCAAATACATCGTTTTCAGCATTTGGTGTAGTTGTTTGACTTGGAAGCGAATTGAGAATTTCGTCTGCAGGAGGTTGATCACTAGAAAGTGGACGGATATCATCACAAGTTCTCTCCTCTAGTGCATTATTGCATGGCTGGTTCATGGTCACATTAAATGCTTGAGCCAAACGGTTTAAGAAACTTTCCATTTCACCGACACGATGTTCAAGGCTTCCACATTGTTCTTCAATATCTTTCGCCTCCCTCTGTTGTACAAAATTATTACAACCAGAGTCTGCGAAGTGCTGGACATTTTCTAACTTCTCTTCAACTGAATCCAATCGTTTCAGGAATAAATTCGGATCAGCTAGAGTATTATCAGTAACTTTTTTAACCTTTCCTGAAATCAAGGTGCCTGAGTTGCTGCTGAAAGGTGCTTCCAGTCTTTCTCTCTTCTTCTTTTTCTTTTTGTTTACATTGATCTTTTTATGAGAAGCTTCATCATCGGAAAGATCTATGGGACAAATTTCACTGCCACGTCTTGCCATCACCTAAATACAAAACTCTTATTTGATTTGGTTCAAGCAAATGGCTAAACGAATGTGCATCAAGATGTCCTAACCTAACATAAGTTTGTTGTTGTTGTCATTCATTTGCCTCGAAAATTTTTCATACTTTTGCAGAAGGGTTGGGATAAGAAAAGAAAACCAAGCAGAAGCAGGAGTGTGTGTGATCTACCTAGGAAGTAATATATGTTGGGACTTTTCCTCTGATATGTTGCGATCAGTGTTAAACTGTAAGTATTTCTCCTTTACCATGTCTACAATTCTTGTTTCTAACTGTGCATTGTCCAATCAATGTGTTACTTACTGTGGCAACCACACGATAAGTACCCAGTAGGCAAGCTTCTTGTGTGGTTATGTTTTCTACTAATGCTGGTTTTAGAAAAATAACAATTATTTCCCTCTATCTCTTAGCTTGTTTAAAAACAGGAGGGCTGATCCCTCTCTGTCAGAATTTGGGAAAACACACTCTGCTGACAAATCAGTTGACTAGATGTCTTAGTTCAGTTGTGTCCCAAAACCGTTTAGCCCCTTCAATCAATGATCACACTGTGTGGAAAACACCTTCAAAGTATGTATCTTGATAATTTTTCACATTTAGCAGTTTATTCATGGCCGTGTATTCATTGACTTTATTTTCAGCATTTGTGCACCTCAACTTACTGCTCTTCCAGTACTTCACCAGCCTTCTCGATCTGTAACTAAATGGACATTTGGAAGCCAAAAACGGCAAACTGTTAGAGCAGTAACTGCTCGTTTTAAAAGATTGGATTGGTAACATCCCTTTGATTTTGATTTCTATTTTCTTCAATGAATACTGCAAGGAAATTTGTTATTATGATCATTACTTTTATCTCTTTACCAGGGGAATTTGGATTCGTCGCATTGCAGGTTGCCACAAGAAGCGTTGGAAGTATTCTAATAAGAACCAGATGAAGAACCAACGGCATGTGTTTGTTCGATTCGTTAGATCTAGAATGCTTGATAGGATGGTATCAAGCTACTGGCGTACACCGAAGTATTATGTAGATGACCCATATGCACCCTACCATAAAAGAGAAGAGTTCATGTACACACGTAAGAATCCACGTCCCTTACCTCCTGGGGTTTCTTTTAGTAATGAGGGTTAATTATTTTGTATACTACATTGTCTGATGTTAAATGCAAGGAAATGTTGAAAGTTTTGAGAATTTGTAAAAAATATAATATGAACCAGTCCAATGTCTGTTTAATTATTTAATAATCTTCAAGCAATAGTGCTATGTGAAAGTAAATTTAAGGGTGATGGGAGAAGATGTGAAGTCACCTCGTTTATTCGTCGACATATGAGTCCCATTCGTCCCATTGATCACCCCCCCGTTCTCGGGTTCAGGAGGGTTGGGGATGGGGG